CAACTTCAGCCTTCCTCCCGTCATAAATTTCAATATTCATTAACTTTAAAAGAATTTGGGTTAAAAACGTACATATGAGACTATTACAAAATATAAAATACAACTACTATGAATGAATAACAATACTGTCATTGGATTTTACTTACTGTGTTATTTTGTAACAACGATTTAAATGTTACGGACCTTTTAAATACTATTTTTTTAATGTCGTTAAACTTCAACAAAACAAACTCGTTTCGAAATAAAAATATTGTTAATAAAAATAATTTATTCTGCATTGTATGGCCAATTTATAAATATTTATTCAGTATTTTACAAAGACATTCTTTTAAACACTACGACCTATCGTCGGGATAAGTCCATAGAAATACCGTTAATTATGACACACTTTTAATTTTTGTTACTTTTTTCAATACATTGAAACTAATAAATTTAAAAAAAATATTACAAAGTATATAAACTATTGAAAAACAAAATGTAAAACGAACTATAGCTTATAAGTTACATTAACATGACATTATTCTATTACAATTTCTATTACTTTGAAAAAAAAATTAATCTTATCTAGTCTGCGTTTCCTTCTTACTGAATTTAGAGTTATGATTCATTTAAGACAGGAGTAGTGTAGGTAGTTACTTTTGTGTACGCGTTGTATTGAAAACCAAGCTGGCCCAAGTGCTGGCTTATATATCCAGTGTATGAATTCAGTGTGCTTACATAAAAATCGTAGAGGTTAATTATGATATTTAAATTATCATATTCAGCCACTAATTCCTCCGTATTGACAACACTGTGATTAGGATGGCAGTCAGTGGTTAATAGGGTTTCCAAAGATTCAGCATGCTGCATTATAGGCCAGTTAAGCCCTGGCAGTTCGAGAAATGTTTGAATCCTCACCATAGGTTGGTAAAATGGACTTGGAACGACACTTGAGTCAAAAGAATGGAGCAGCCTGAATACGCCCAACAAGTTGGACATAACGGACGCACCTGTTTCGACACTAGTTCTTAGCTTACTCCAACAGTCTTCGGCGACAAACTTTTGTCGAATTCCGTTACACTCATCCATCGTATAAACCGTTAATCTGAGAAAGTCGTTCAATTTCTGCCCGTAACCGCAACCCATCATGTAAGGCAAAGTTTTCAATCTTTCCAATGGCCCGAAATTGGGACCGGGTTTGAATAATATATGTTTACCTGTCCACGAACCGGAAGTTTTGACCCTAAGAAACCACATATCTTCCCAATGCTGTAGTCTACTAATATAGTTGACATGTTTTTGTTCAGCCGCAGAGAGTTCGCCATTACACCTCGTATCGTTTTTTATGCATATAACGGCTAACGAAATTAAAAACTTAATAATGACATTTTTTCCCATACTTAATCGTTTAAGCGGCAGATTCGATACTATACAACAACACGAATATGCTCTGCCTGTTCTATAACTAAAACCGAAATGTCTAAATTAAATAGATTTGTGCGCCGCATATTAGACGACAGTATTGCGTGAAAAGCCAACTCACTCTTTTGTTGTGCTAAGACAAATAATACAACTAAAAGTCATTAGAACCGTTAAAAATAATGTCTATTGTCTACGTGTATACCAAAAACAGATGTGTTTACGGATGCATACTTTATTATCAAAAAATTAATAACTAACAACATTTTTGCTTGTCGGTTTTCGGTTCTCATCAATTTATAGGTAATGAAAATAGAAGCATACCATTTCCAAAAATGAAAGTTTTCCTATTTTTTGTCATTTGACATTTACAGCTTCGTAAACTTAATATAATTGTAATATGTTAGTGATTTTTAGTACTCTAAATATGCTCAAAGTTATATCCAATTATTGATCAGACCATTAAAGCGCAAAGTAAAATATCATCAATTGTAAAACTTATAAACTCCATAAATAAGGTATAGTTATGAGTTTTAATCCTATTGATAATATTTCGTTCTCAATTTTTCATTTACAGATATACTTAAATAATATGTGTATTGTAAACAGTTTTTAATTCTCAATATTTTTTTATAACTTACAAACCAACCAATATACTATATTTTCAAACACAATATCACATTTAAATCACTTTAACATTAAACTAGGGGTAATAATTTGTAGATATCACTTATTTAAAAATAAACAGAACATAGTTTACATCAATACAGGCTTTCTTAAGGCAATAAAATATTTAGAAAAATAATGAGCTACCCAATATCTAATTTTTTTTTAATCAATTTCTACTTAAACACTAAAGTACGATTATACAAAATTTAAAGCGAAACCGTACCTATGAGATTATTTTATTGTAATACAACCAACATTTATACAACCACATAAATTTAAAAAACAATATTGCTATTGGATTTTAGTTACCGTGTTATTTTATAACAACGCTTTAAACGTTATGGACCTTTTAAATACCATTTATTTAATTATCGTTTATCTTCAATAAAACAAACTCGTTTGGAAATAAAAATATTGTTAATAAAAATAATTTATTCTGCATTGTATGGCCAATTTATAAATATTTATTCAGTATTTTGTAAAGACACTCTTCTAAACAATACGCCCAATCGTCGGGATTAGTGTAATAACATTTATTACATTTTTCAATACATTTAAACTAATAAATCGAATTATTACAAAGATTATTATCTAAAGTAATTATTACAATGTCATAAACTATTGAAACATAACAACTAAAACGAACTGTAGCTTATAAGTTAAATTAACATGACATATTTCATTACAATTTTTAACCTCTATACTTTAGAAAAAAAAAACATTTAAAATGTTATCTAGCCTGCGTTTTCTTATTGCTGAATTTATTGAAATTATTCAATTAGGTTATATCAATTATAACTTTCAATCTTTCTAATGGCCCGAATTTTTTTGTTTGAAGAAGATAACTTACGTTTTCCTAACCAGTGCGAACCGGAAATTTTGACATGAAGGAACCACATCTGTTCCCAATGTTGTGGTCTACTAATAAAGTTGACATGACTAACTTGAGCTGCAGTGAGTCCGCCGTAACAACTCGTATTGGTTTTCATGCATATAACGGCTAAAGCAATTAAAAGCTTAATAATGACATTTTTGTCCATGCTAAATCATTTAGGCACCTGATTTTTTTTACTTGAAAAAACGATTAAGACTTGCCTTGTCTATAGCAAAACCAGAAATGTACAAGTTAAATAGATTTGTGCCACGTAGTAGACGATTTTACAACGCGCAAAAACAAACTCATCTATTTATTACCGTAAGACAAACCATACAACCAAAAGTCATAAAAATGTCGATATTTATACTGCAATAAGTCTAATACACTCACTTTAAAAAAAGAGCCCCATAAACAGTTGTTGTTTAATATTTTCAAGTTAAAAATAAAAAAACAGCATATTATAATTTTTTTTAAAACAGCACAATGGGGAATGAACATTTAGTAGGGGTTATACGATAGGTAAACCCGAATACAAAATACAAGGTGATTTATTTAGAATAAGATATTAATTTTCTATTAAAACAATTGCAATTTTGTAGTATTTGTTTTTGGAGCCACTCTGGTTTATGTTATTATACAATGCTCGTATTAGAAAATATTCTTTCAAAAAGTGAACTAAAACAAAATTGTTTTCAAAAAGAAAAGCCATAAAATTGCAAACCTAACCTAACCCACCCGGTATTTTGTTTTTTACAACTTTCTCGACTTTTATTTTCCTAAATAAAATAGCTAGTTAGTCCAAACGGTTGAACATTATCAAGTATGCAAAAAATGCCGTCATTAATAGTGTTTTGAGTGTCTTTAAAATTTAAGGTTAAAAATAAAAACTTTCAAAAAATGTACCCCGTTTATCTGTAAAACGTTCACCTATATTAGTGATTTATCTCAAAAAATGATTTGACTTGTATTTTTATCTGAGAATTTCACGAAACCTTTTTTTTTTTTTTTGTATTCAATATTTGTACGCCAGTTATTGTAATAATAATTAAGGATGTGTTCGTTTAGTTGCTATGGAGTTGAATAAAAAACTGATATTCCGGTACAGATTGCATTAATAATGTATGGACAATATTTTAATTTAATAATAAGAAGAGCACGAGAAACAGTTGTTAATAATTACATTAACTAGATATCATTAGAAAGAAAAACAGTGGGGTCAAAGCATATTGTAATATAGGTCTTTTAGGAAATTGTTAAAATTAATTGTGATAAAATCATTTTCAAATAAACTCTTTGATTCGAATATATAGATAGAAGAAATACAAATGTCGCTAAAAGCATTTTAATGACAATAATGTGCTTGAAATTGAAATTTTGAAGCTAAAAAGCTATAAGAGGAGTTTTTGAAATTGTTTTGGACTGTCAACGTGTATTGATGATACTCTGCGAATAAATAATATTCCATTTAAATTTGGAAATTATTCGACAATTTTTATCAGTTTATATTCAAATAGTAAAAAGATATTTTAAATAATTTTTGGTTTTCATTAGTGGTAAAAGTTATGTTTAAAATTTAAATTTTTTGTAAATTACCGTTTTAAATTAAAAACCGATTAAACCATATTTTAGTAATTTTTATAAATACACATAAAAATGTATAAAAACGTTAATATAAAAATCCTTAATTTATTAACAGCTTTTTAATTAAAATCTGTATAGTATCACTATGAGCGTTATATAGGATTTTAACAGGAGATAATATTTAATACACATAGTAAATAAGTAATAGGTTATTTTATTTAATATAGTATGTTTAATCTGAAATTGGCTATACTTTAAAAAGGAATGAAAAATTTCATAAAAATACCGTTATTGTTAGCAAACTTTTAACTTTTATTACATATTTTCTATACATTTAAACTAATATAACTAAAAATAATTATCACAATATATATATATATATATTATGTATATATATAACCCATTAAAAAAAAAAATATGTATAAAACAATTTATACATTAAAAATACATATTTCATTACGATTTTTAACCTCTGTACTCTTTTATAATTTTTTTTTTTTTTAATAACATTTAAAATATAATCTAGCCTGCGTTTTCTTATTACTGAATTTAGCGATATTATTCATTTAGGTTAGGAGTAATAAACGTAGTCACGTTTGTCGCCGCGTTATGCCGAAAACCAAGCTGGCCCAAGTGCTGGCATATATATCCAGTATAGGAATTCAGCTTGTTTACATAAAAATCGTAGAGGTTAATTATGGTATTTAAATTTCTATATTCAACCGCTAACACACCGGTATCGACTACGCTGTGTGCGGGTTGACATTCTGTGATTAAAAGGGTCTCCAAGAAATTCGCAACGGACATGATTGGCCAGTTAAGCCCTTCTGTTTCGAGAAATACGCGAATCCTCCCCATAGGTTCGAAAAATAAACTTGGAACGACACTCATGTCAAAAGAATGGAGCAACCTGAACACGCCCAACAAGTTTGCCATAATCGACGCACCTGTTTTCATGCTGGTCGTCAATTTACTCCAACAGTCTTCGGCGACAAACTTTTGTCGAATTCCGTTACACTCATCCATCGTGTGAACCGTTAATCTGAGAAAGTCGTTCAATTTTTGCCCGTATGCGCATCCCATCATGTAAGGTATAACCCTTAACTTATCTATTGGCCCGAATTTGGGACCTCCATTCGATATTCTAGTTATCTTTGTCCAGTGCCATCCGGAAGTTTTCACCTTATTGAACCACATTTCTTCCCAATGTTGCTGTCTACTAATGTAGTTGACATGATTTACTTCGACCGCAGTGAGTCTGCCGTTACACCTCGTATCGTTTATTGTGCATATAACGGCCAAAGCAATTAAAAACACAACAATGACATTTTTTTTCATGCTTAATCGTCCAGGCAACCGGTTTTCTAATAGACCTCAAAACGAATATGACCTGTCTAGTCTAAAAAAAAAAAAAACAAAATGTACTATAAGTTAAAAAAAATTAATAGTAGGCAAAAATACTCTGCGCAAAACCGAACTCACTTATTTATTACTCTAAGACAAACAATAAATCTAAAAGACATAAAAACATCAAATGTTATAATGCAATAAGTTTAATATACCTACATTAAAAAAAAAAAAAAAAACGATAAACAATTGTTTAATATTTACAAACTGAATATTATTAGAAAAAAAAAAACAATAGGCTCAGAAAATTTAGTGTGGGAGATCTTAGGTCTTTTTAGAAATTATAAAAGTAATGTGCTTTAATTGCAATTTTAGTATATGGGTGGATAGGGTTGAACGTCAATCTAATAAAATGAAATTATATTTTTCATACACCTGTTGACTTCTGATACACTAACACAGCAACCTAGAATTTTACTATAGCCAACACTTTAAATCTACCTTCTAGTCTAATTTTCAGACGTTAGGCCATAACAACATTTCACTTCTTCAGAAGGAAATGGTTTTTGAAATTTTTTGGATTGTCAACGTATGTTTATGATACTTTGTCTAAATAATATTCCTTACAAATTTTGAAGTGGACTATTTTTAAAATTTTTCAGGAGTTTTGTAGAGGCAATATTTGAGAAGAAAAATAGGTTTTAATACATTTCGATCATGTCAATTAATTTACCGGTTAATTTTTATAAGTTTCAAGGTATTATATTTAACTTAATTAGTTTATTCTAATTTTAGTTTATTTAGACTAAAAATCCAGACAAAATTTAACTAAGATAGTCCAATTTAAATTCTGTAAAAAGATTCGAGTTCTTTGGCTACTTTACCATGTTATGTTGGAAGCCAATTTCTATTTAAAAATTTCAATTTCTTGTAATTAAATAAACTAAATTTGCAATTTTTTCAATATTCAAACAGATTTTTTTTACATAAAACAGCAAAAAATTTAAAAATCTGTTTCTCACTTAACCTAGTAAAGTTGTCAAAGAACTCGTATATGTTTACAGAAATGAAATCAGACCATCCTAAGTAGTCGACATTGTGTCTGGCTTTTAGGGGTCTAAAACGTCAAAAAAAAAAAATAGACCACATGCAATCCACTTACCGTTATATTAATTTGAAAAAATATAGGTAAATTTCAATTTTTTTGTTTCTCTCGGTTTCGGTTGGGAAGAGGTGAACTTTATTAAGGAAGAATAAAAAAAGTACAGGGAATTTTTATCTTTGTGAATTTTAATAATTTAACAAAATTTGTAAAATCTATCCGATATCGTTTCGATACCAAAACCCGATTTTTTTTATAACATTTTTTTACACGATTTTGTTTTGACACTTTATTATCCCCACTTGCATTTTGGTGTCAAGCGGATAAAATAATTTATTTATGTACAATTATAATATGTATACGCATAAAACAAATATTGAAACGGTTTTAATAGAATCACTTGTACAATTTACATAAAATGTTATAGTCGACAGTAATTTATACACGTTATATTTTTATTGATCAAACAGACTAACACATTTTGTCTTATGAACATTCAAATATGGCAGTTGAAAATAAATATATATAAATATATGTATTAAAATATCTGTGCGCATAAATAGTAAGTCTGGTTCGAGAAAATTGTTAACTTTTAATTTATTACCTGAAGCCTATGATTTTTTTAACGTATCAAGCTGTACATATGAGTTCAACATACAAAATCAAAAAAACCAAATTTATGGGCAAAGATTTTATACATTGAAAATTTTAGAAAGACAAATTTATTTATTATTATACATGGTTAAAAATATGACTCGGTTAATGAAATGGTTTAAAAAAGATCAATTACCGGTATTATCAGAAAAATCCAAAGAAGTCCATACTTGATCCTTTTTAAACTTTTCACTTCGATTTACTGTATTATTTCGATAGTAATGTTTGGGTCGTCTCGAAATTAACAGAAATACTCCCCTTGACCACCGTCTCATTATTTTTTAATTGAAGAAAAACCGATTTTTTTGCAGTCAGATCAGAATTCTTACCTAAAAAGGTACTTAATTGGGCCGAAAATGTATTTAGTCCATCCCTTCCATTTCAAAATTAACAAAAACGGTCACCATATTTTACAAATTAAAACTACGGTGCGCAAGTACAATTTAAGACATAGTATTTTCACACAATTCAACTCTAAAATTATATCAAAAAATTAAAACAAACAAAAATAGGTTGGAACACACAAGTACAGTAATACAACAATACTTGAATACAAATAAATAATAATTAGGAATAATAAGAGAACTATACTATAACTAAACAAATTAAGTAAAGTAGTGCAACAATTAAAATTAAAATGCCAGTCTCGGCGATTAAGGCAATAATGATTAGGTATGTTGGAATGTTCGGAATTAGAATTAGAGGTAGATTAATTTTAAGCCATTATTACCTTTTAAATGGTTTATCGGTATTAAATGTTTCCATCGTATCAAAAAGATTGTTTTAAAGTGATTTTATTCGTTTCAGTTTTAACCGCCACTCTATAGATCAGAAATCGTTCTTAAAAGGTACTTTATTAGGCCAAAAATTTAAAAAAATTCACCCCTTTCCCTTCAAAATCAAGAATAACACCCAACAAAATTTAATTTAAATAGTTAAGGTGTTTAATAATTTATGAGGTCCTATTTTGGTTACCTCTGGCATGCCTTAAGGCGACCATTTATCTCCAGTTTTGTTTTTGACCTTCATAAACGATTTGGGTCTGGTTTTCGAGCACTGTACATTTTCATTATTTGCAGATGATCTCAAATTGTTTATTGAGGCCGCAATCCGATAATGAATAACTATACAGTCAATGACATAAATCTCTAGGTACTAAGTAATATTAATGACTTGGGCGTCACTTTGTCTACCGACTCATCTTTTAACACACATATTAACTTAATGTGTGCTAAAGCCTACCGAAATCTTAGGTTTATTAAACGCAATTAAAGGGGAATTTAAGGATTTAGGCTGTCTAACAACATTTTTTTTTGTAGAGCTTCAGTCAAAAAATTATGTTATAAACAGTCCTATATGTCAAAATATTATGTTAAACGTATGTAATAAATTGTCCGATTTTTATTTTTTTAGATAATATCAGTAAATTAAAACTAAGTGCACTGAATGTAATGTGATTAGATTATGTTCCAGCGAATAAGTTAGTAAAATGTTAAAATAGTATTATGTATTGCACCTGTACACATTGCCCCCTGCGGTGCGTTACTTTTATAAATAAAACAAATTATAAATAATTCCTGAAGACCTGTGACCTACCCGTCCTCACTGTACTGGCTTTTTATTTATAGTATCTAGTTTGTACAGCAACTGTTTCTCGTGCTTTTTTTTATGTTGATATTATTAAACTTATCGCTGTAGGTATACAATTTGACGTTTTTATGACTTTTGTCTTTGGTAGACTAACAAAATATTATAATAAGTGCGCGCCTGTTGGTATTTGCGCGGAGTACTGTCCTCTACTGTACTCAGTACAAATCTACGTATAGGAGATATTCGACTTGGACATTTCAGCTGTTGTCATAAACTTGGCAGGTGTTTTTCAAACGATTTAGCATGGGAAAAAATGTCGTCGTCGAGTTTTCAGTTATTGCGTTGGCCGTCGTTTGCATAAAATACAACACTAGGTGCAACGGCCAATTCACTCCGGCTCTGACAAATCATCTCAACTATATAAGCAGAGCGCACCATTGGCAATGCATGAAGTTCGACGCGGTCAAAACCGATTTGGACTGGATGGAAAAAAGCAGTTTGTACAATTTTGCCGGTGCCAGACTCAGGGCAATAGACAAGTTGAAAATGATCCCTTTCGTGATGGGATGCGCATACGGGCGGAAATTGAACGACTTTCTCAGGTTAACAGCTTGTACGGTCGACGAGTGTAACAGAATTTCACCAAAGTTTGTCGCCGAAGATTGCCGGAGCAAACTGAAGACCAGCGTGGAAACAGGTGCGTCCGCTGTGTCAAACTTGTTGCACGTGCTTAGGCTGATCCATTCTTTTGACAGCAATGTAGTTCCGAGTCCATTTTACGAACCGATGGAGATGATTGGACGCCATCTCCACACATACGGTTTTAACTGGCAAATCAGGCCTGTCGCCGACTCCTTGGAGATGCTCTACAACTCTCAGTGTAAACCGGAATGCCACGCCGTCGAAATAGAAGCACTGGCGGCTGAATATAAAAATCAAAACACCATAATGAACCGTTACGATTTTTATGTAAACATACTGAACTCTTACACGGGATACATAAGCCAGCACTTGCGCCAACTCGGTTATAAATACAACGCGAAGACGAACGAAACTTCTTTCGTTATACCTTTTTAATTCAGTAATAAGGAAACGCGGATTCGGTAACGTTTTAAATGTTTTTGTTTTGTACAACAGTGTTGTAACCGGTTTGAAAAGTTGTAATAAAACGCCGTCAATATTATAATAATATGTACTCGTCATTGTGTTAGTATTTTTTTTTTAATTTTTATGAAGTAGGTATTATTTACATACTTAAAAACCAAATTGCGATGATTTTTAAAAAGTACCTACTTTTTAATTAAAACTATTGAAAAAAAATCGCATCGAAGCGTTTGACTGTGATTACATTTATACATTCTTATATGAACATTTCTTAGTAGTTTTTTAAAGTGTGTTTATTTTTTCCCTTCTTTGTGCCGTTTGTGGCATTATCTACGTTTATTTCGACTATGGCTGCTACTACCGTTTAACATTGGTCGGTTAGTTTAATTTGTTGCTTTATATTTTCTTGATAAGTATTGGGTTCCCACGTCTTACATACTTTCCAACCTTCTTCTTTGTTGAAATTGTGAGAGCATTTTTCAATTTCTATATAGCATCTCTGAACATTCTTTTTCTGTTTTCCATTGTTTGTGTTCTGTTTTCCGAATCTCTTTGCTCTTCCAGTTTGTCCAGTGTATAGCTTGCCACATGTGCATGATATTTCATATACACCTGGTATTTGCTCATCTGGGATTGTATCTTACCGGCTTCGAAAAATGATCCAATTATTATTATTTGCTTGGTTTAAATACAGTTTTTCTTGTATGTATGGCATTTGGATAAAATAATTTAGGTTTCTAACTTAGATAGACGTTTTCCAAATGTGATTCGACCACATTTTACTAACGTATTATATTATACTGATTTATAAACGAGCCACGAGAAGTTCTGTCATATACTAAATTGTATAGAAATAGTTAAGGTATATTATTCAGTTCTTCTAGACCAGTTGTTTAAAGGTAGTAGGTACCTAATAAAATATAATAATTACTGTGGCTCAGTCAAAAAGAAGCTACCTCGTTTTTTGTACCATTTTCTAATCAACTTTAAAAGTTCTTATTTTATTTATAGGCGTACATATAGATTTAACTAGTTATAATCTATGTAATAGAAAGAGTAGATAAATCAAATTAAATTTACCTAATACTAGATAATATTTTTAAATGTTTTTGTTTAATTTGTTTTTTGTATTTACATATTATGCTAAATAAATATCACATATGGCCGGATTGAGTTGAAAAATATAATTAATTATTAGGATCGTTTTAAGTTTGTTATGCTTAGTCTACATTAGGTAAGTAAATTTTTTGTTAACTATTTATACTTAACAAACTGAAATCGATTAGGAAATAGTGTACATTTTCATCGAACATGGGATATTTTTATTTTTTAAAGATTAAATAAATAAAGAAACATCTTCCTTGTAAGAAACAGAAATGAGCCGCTTGAGAGTTGGGCTCTATTGATATATCTATGCATGCAATAATTATTATCAAGTCTTGGTTAGATTATTTTTATACGAATGTGTAGATGATTTTTTGTTTTTAGTGACACCTTTTAGTGGTCTAAATACAATATTATGAGTTAAACATTTAATATTTTTAAAAATTCAGGGCAATCAATGTTGTATGATAGTTATATAATAGTGTTGCATATAGTATACATTTGAATATATAATATGTTATTACAGTTGCTCTCATTCGCTTTGTGACAAATGCCACGTCCAAACATAAAGGACTCAGTGGACTAACCGGTCATTACTAACTTAAAAGCTACCATTCAAGAGAATCGTTTCTGTCAATTTTTTTTAATTTGGTCAACTTGTACGATACAACATTTTATTGCGTTATTAAGACTTTTGTGTTAAAATAAAATTATATTTTTAGACAAGTTTAGTAGCTTGGACCTATGTTATAATTTTTGTAAATGTACGACAAAAAAAATGTTTCCATCTTTTTGGCCCATCCCCGATTTTAGACCGATGCTGCAATGTTGACATAAACTGTTTTAAAACAACAATTTTATTGAAATGGTAAAATCACACATTTATAACTGTTGAATTATAAAAATGAAAAAATTAACATTTAAAAAAAAAATGTATTATATAATAGGAAAAATAAATATACAGACTGATCTTCAAACTAAAGAGTATTGAATATAAAATACTAACCAAATTCTAAAACAGTATTGAGTAAAAAACAAAAATATAAATAAACATATAACTGCTACAGAATATGTATTAAACAAATACAATACATAAAAGTTCGGTGGGTTTTTTAACGAGTATACGTGCATTTATGAGTGGTCAGAGTGGATTTTTAACAAAATACCTTAAATCATACACCACTTTTGTATGGCTTTTCGCCCGTGTGCACGCATCTGTGTCGCACAAGATGCGCTTTTGACCAAAGGGGTACCGAACAAATGTCACACTTGTACCGATACTCATCGGCATATTTGTTTGAGTTTGTGCACCTGCATATAGGATTTCGACGTAAAAGACGTCCAACACACGTCACACTGATATGGTTTATAACCGGTATGCACACGTTTATGTACTCTTAATTTATATTTGGTGTTAAAAGATTTTATGCACACTTCACAGTTGTAGAGCTTACCAGTATGCACACTTTCGTGATCCCTCAAAGAGCTTTCATAAATAAAAGACTTAGAGCAAACGTCACATTTGAAGGGATATTCTCCAGTATGCACAATTTTGTGAAACTTCAAACTGTGTTCATGAACAAAAGACTTAGAGCAAACGTTGCATTTGAAACGATTTTCTCTAGTATGTATCTGTTTGTGTAATGCCAGACCGCGTTTCAACATAAAACATTTCAGGCAAACGTCGCATTTGTAGGGCTTTTCGCCCGTGTGCACGCGTCTGTGTATCACAAGATGGGATTTCGACCAAGCAGGCATTGAGCAAACTTCACATATGTACTTATAATTACCGGCATGCCTGAGTTTATGCATGTCCAGATATTGTTTCGAAGTAAAAGACTTCAAACACACGTCACACTTGAATTTTTTATATGTAAAAGATTTCTTACCGGTGTGCACACGTTCATGTAAAACAAGACTGGATTTTACCCTAAATGACCTCGAGCACAAGCTACACGTATAAGGTTTCTCTCCAGTGTGTATCCGTTCGTGTTGAATAAGACCATGGCGCGTTGAAATACACTTAGTGCATATCTTACATTTGTAGGCTTTTGTTTTTCCATTAGAGTGCATGCCTTTGTGTCGTACCAGATTGGACTTTGTTGAAAAAGACTTCAAACACAATGCACACTCATGGAGTAGTCTGCCGTTTTTTCTCTTGATCCCTCCCCTCTTCCGGTTAGGATTTTTACTTTTTGGTAAATTTTGTTTTCCTTTTTGGAGTGTATTTTTAACAACTGGATTTATGTTATGAGATACTTCAAAGTGACGAATTATTTGCTTTCTGGCGTTAAAAGATTTTTGGCACATGTTGCACACAAACGACTGTGCTTCGTTTAAAACTTTGTCGGTTGATTTTGTTGGAATATGATGATTTTCAAGTGATTCTTTTTGGTAATTGCCATTTGTTTCAATTGGCATAATCGCCTCATCGCTGGGTCCATTAATACTACAACAAAAAATGCTTGTATCAATTAAAAATCGTTTAAGTAGAAGAAAAGTGAAAATAAATTGTTATTAGTGACCGGTACTTTTGAGCCCTACCCCCTTCCTCATCTATGGTAAGGCCTATTCTTGTTAATTTCCTTAGGACCCAAAGCATTTTAAATTAGGCATTATAAATTATTTAAATTTTTAAGTCTAGCGTTATATGAAGTACGGTAAAGCAACCAAGTACAATATTAGTAATAGAAATTGTCAAGTCAGAAGGCACCTGTAAGACTTTTCATAGACTTTATCAATAACAACATTCTGAGCTGAAGTCAAACTGCTGCTGTTATATGACTTTTGAAAAATATACGGCATTGTATTGAACAACTGTGTATCGTTTAAAACTTTGTCGGTTGATTTTGTTGGAATCTGATCATTTTCAACCGATTCTTTCAGGTAATTTTCATTTGTTTTATTTGGCATAATCGCCTCGTTGGTCGGTCCATTAATACTGTAACAAACAATGCTTTTATTAAAAAAAAAAACCTTTTCAATTACTTATGATATAGTTAACACCAAAAGCATATTGTTTATACTTAAAGCATGCACTGATGTTAATTTGAAATAAATTTAGTAAAATTAATTAATTAAAATTTCCATTGTTTATTTTACAAACATATATGTAGTGTTAAAATATAGCATTAAATCGTTTTAAAATAGGGATTTTATATTTTTTGAATTTGTATGCATAGCGTTACATAAAGTCCGGTAAAGCAACAAAGTGCAATATTAGTTACAAAAGAAATTTCCAGTCAGAAGTAATCTCATTACCTGTAAGGCTTTTCGTAGACTTCATCATGAGCAACGTTCTGAGCTGAAGTCAGACTTGTGCTGTTATATGACTTTTGAAAATTATACAGCTTTGTATTGAACAACTGCGTTTTGTTTAAAACTTTCTTCATTGATTTTGTTGGAATTTGATGATTTTCAACTAATTCTTTCTGGTTATTCCTATTTGTTACTACAATGGGCATAATCATTTTGTCAATCAGTCCATTAATACTACAACAAAAAATGCTTGCATTAAAATAAAATAAAAATTATTCAATTACTTATATATCAGTTACAAAAATTTGGTAGTCAATTACCTGTAAGACTTTTCATGGCCTTTATCACGAGCAATGTTTTGAGCTGAAGTCAAACTGCTGCTGTTTTTTGACTTTTGAAAATTATTCGGCTTCGTTTTGTTTGTATAGTCTTGGATATCTTGCAAACCCAAAATTACAATTTCTTCAACATAATCATTTGATATTCTTTCTATCACAGTACTTAAGCCATATTCGTTGTATTTCATTATTTCGATTTCAACAATTTTATTATTGTTTTTATTATCAGACTCACTAGATAAAACAAAAAAAAAAATTCATAATATTAAAATTAGATAAACTGCAAAGCCAAATTACGTTATGTTAAAAACAGTCTACGGCCAAGGCCCAAGACTAAAACCGATTTTTTACAAACTTAACCAACACAATGCAAGTAGTATTGTTGTAGGAAATTGTATACTATAAAAGAAATTATTTTTTCAATAAAAAATAAAATGTAAGAAAGCAAAAAGATTACAGGTTTTTAATAATTAATATAAATTCACATACAAATAAATTACAAACTTACAGATTTACTGACAGACTTACTGTATTTGTAATATAAGTTAAGAAAATTGAAAAACATTTTTAGGTAATTGGTTTGAAATATTATCAACTTACAAGCATAATTCTGAAATATCATCTTCGTCATCTTGCTTTATTATAACTTCTTCTATCCGTTTAATGCTCTCATCTAAATAAAAAATATAATAAATGTTCATTTCAATTGATTATAATGAACTATTATTCTAATTAGTCAAAGGCATATTACAATAAGATAGAGAGTGATATTTTGTTAAAATAATATAATTTTTTAATTCAAACCCAGTCATTTTTTAAGCTCTACTTTTATAATAGAATAACCAAATAAATTTGGAAAAAAAAGGTTATTTTTTATTTTTTTTAAATACTACAATCAACATTGAAACTAATTTGAATAACATTGTTACTTTAAAACAAACATTTATTGTTTTCTTACCTTCATCTAGTTTGAGTTTAACTTTTGTCTCATTGCTCTTTTTCATAACACTAAAAAATAAGTAAAATAATAATTCAACCAGTAGTTAAATACTAAAACTAAATCATATAAAACAAAACATATTGTTCTTGTTTAAGACTGTTGTGTGATTTACAAATTATTACAGCTGTTTAAGTCCCAATAAGGAATATCCGCTTCAAAAGTTACAATTGTTTATACGATATACCCATATTATTATAAACCACTCCGTTTTTCTGAATTGTTTTTAAAATATGTTTTTTAAAAATCAAATTACCTGTATTTATTTTTCTTGACCTTTTCTTTAGGACAGTCCTTTAGGGCCTTCAAATTACAATTATAAGAATTCTCAATGTGATGGGTCTTTATATCATTTGAATAGTCTATGTTAGTATAATCCTCCACTATTTCTATCATAGAACTATAGAAACAATATTTAGTTTCATCTTCTTCTATTTTAATTGTTGGCACTTTCTCCATGTTTTCGATGGTACTAAAAATCAATTAAATCAGAAAACTTAAAAGTAAACAATATAAACTCTATATATGACTACTACATTTTGTGCTTTTTACTAAATTTTTAAGTATTAGCGAACGAAACTGTAAGACTTTGTCCATATTATTTTTGTTTTATGATTAATCGTTCTTCAGTTTGTCAGCCTACTCTAAATTGATAAAAATTATCCACCAATAAACATTTCATACATTTGTTATATGATTATATGTTATATGATCGCAAAGGTATTTTCATTAGTTAAGGTTATATTAACTTTATTCTTATTTTACACGACATCTTTTAAGGTTGTTGTTAGGCAACATTTAATATATTTGTAATCTTTATTTAATTAAGCTACATTAGAGAATTTACAACTCATTTAAAACAGAGTTGCAAATTGTATGTAAAACTATAACTTAAGCCTTTTTTCGTTTAAGTATTTTTACCACAATATCATTGTTTGTTCGGTGTATAGGAAAATACAAAAAATAACACGGTGCATTATTAAATTGATATACATGTCAGCAATAATTCACAAACCTGTGTTTGTCTTGTGAGGTGTTAAAAAGTTTTAAGTTTGGCTGTTCGTTGTACTCGTTTTAACCGAATCGATAAAACACAGCACTGGCGGTTTGGCATAACAGTTTGATTTATTTAATTTACATACAACTTAAAGGTATGCCAATGAATAAAGTGTAAACTTGAATGTTAAAGTTTAAAAATCACGTTAAATCATAGTAGGTTAGTATCACAGATCACTATTCTCTTATCATACACAAACGTTTAAATTCTTTATAGGTAATATAGGTAGGTAGATAATAGATCTGGTTAAACAATAATGATAAATATTTGTGATAATAGTATCCAGAAGGGAAACCTAAGTCAGGACTGATAAGTGTCGACATTTTGTTTTAGCGAGTAGCACGATAAAACCTGTATACACCTATAACAGTAACTGAGAAAATAATAACATATTCAAAATTATTGTAACAATGTAGAATTTCAAATAAAAATAAAAATCATCTTTTAGTTTGTTGTAAATCTGGGACTTATGTTCACCTCACAATGGGCATTTTATCATTTTCAGTTATAATAATTTCTGTAGACAAGTGATTTCCCTGTCCCTATTTCTTTTTCATATCGTGTCCAGATTATAATATACCTAGCTGCTTTATTAGGTACTTTAAAATTATTAAACTTTAATATTAACAACAGGAGAAAGGATGGAATCTACTATTATTTTGATCTGCGGTCATTACTCTACCATTCGATTTATTACATATTAATATTATGATACCTAGTACCTACGCTATTTACAATAAAAATAATTATTAAAAATACTTAGTCCTCTTCGATACCAGCATATTTAAATGCTTACTTCAGAGTTCAGAGGTAATTTTCACTAAATCCCATCAAACCTCAAATTTTACATAGCTCGTCAGTTTTTTGGAAATTTTTAACCGGTTATCTATTATTGTTTATAATAGATTGAAATATTCTGAAAAACTTAAATAATGGATTAATATAATATGTAGTATTTCTTTAATTAAAAATGTTAAGGTAAACATAAGCAATAAACATTTATTCTCTTTCAATACACCTCTTAAATATTACAGTTTAATTACTCTTTTACATTTTATTTTGTAATAATCTCCTAAATATTATTATTTGATGAAATAAACTAATAAAACCATTTTAGTGAGTTAGTAGATCAAAAAAACCTTCACGTGTTTTAGTTTCGATGATCGTTTTAGAACTTTTATAAAATTGCTTTATATTGTAAATGTGGTCTTAGGAATTGGCTCTTCAAATGATGAAATTGACATACAGTAGAAAAACTTTCCTGGGGTTATTTTTTCAAACTGTAATAATTCAACTCAACGATGTGAAAATCTAAAGCCTTAAACCAGAAAGTCAGACGATATATATCTGCCACCAGATATATTTCAAGCCCAAGTAAAATGTAAAAGAGACGTACTACCGCAATATTACCAAACGTTTTCGGCGGTAGTCAAAATTTAAATGGTCAGTAGCCAACCATCAACAAAATAAAGAGAAGAAAAAATAATCCAACGTTGTTTAAAGATATTTCCAAGATGGATAATTCAATAGAAAATAACAAAACAATTTATTCTTAAATCTATTAATATTATTATTAAAATTTGATTTATTCTATTTCTGTTTATTAAATTAATATTGTTTATAAAATAGTTATTTTTAATACATTTTTACTTTATACGTCTTCTCTGACTTTAAAGTTACCTAAGAAATCAAATTATACTGTCTCAATTTTTGGTACTAAAAAAATTAATAGAAAAAAAATATATGTTGAGACCATTTGGGAAAGGGACAAATATACAGTTTTGCTGTGTAAAAAATCCACCCATGTTTACTTTTGTAATTGTAATTTACAAAATATGTTTATGACTTAATCTGATGATTTCTAGGTAAAATTATGGAAATTGTAACGGATCCTAGACAACCGGAACCACAACCTGAAAACCAAAACAGATTTCAAACGGATGTATAATTATTAATAACGGAACTAAACCCAAGTATACATTGTAATTTAATGCATAGCAATGATAATTGTTTATGTATAAATAATAATAATGTACAACGAAATTTAATTTTTTTTTTTTTAACAAGAACCAACTATGGATATAATAAAATAATGTCGATAACACTGTTTATAATTTCACAACTAAAAAAACCTTAACTTATTTATTATATTTAACATAATACATTTATTCATAACTGTAAGAATTTGAAACACGGAAACAGAAATTATATATTAAATTGACAAAAATCTTACTCAAACCGAGTAAACGCAATTTCATTGTCAGAGTGAGCATGACGCGATATGTCTGTTCTCGACCAAAGTTACAACCAACACAAGCCGCATTTGACGCAATCGTGCAAGTGTTTGTGCATTATCAGAGAGTTTTTGCTCAAACAGGCCTTTTGGCATATATCACATGTATAGAGCTTCTCATCAAAATGCACTTGTTTGTGGGATACCAAAGTGGATTTCAACGAAAAAGATTTTTGGCACACATCGCATTTGTAGGGCTTTTCGCCCGTGTGTATGCGTCTGTGAGCCACGAGATGCGTTTTCGACCAAACAGGCATAGAGCAAATGTCACATTTGTATTGATACTTACCAGCATGCCTGAGTTTGTGTACCTCCAAATAAGGTTTTGATGTAAAAGACCTCGAACACACGTCACATGTATAGGGTTTCTTACCGGTGTGCACATGTTCATGTTGCATCAGTAAAAGTTTAATCGAAAAAGACTTCAAACAAAGACTACATGTGTAAGGCTTCTCACCGGTGTGCACACGTTCATGTATTACAAGACTGGATTTTACCGTAAAAGACTTCGAGCACAAGCTACACGTATAAGGTTTCTCTCCGGTGTGTATTCGTTCGTGTAGTATAAGACCATAGCGTGTTGAAAAACACTTAAAGCATATGTCACATTTGTTAGCTTTTGTTTTTCCATTTGAATGCAAGCGTTCGTGTCGTACCAGATTGGACTTTGTTGAAAAAGACCTCAAACACAGGGTACACGTGTAAGGTTTCTCACCGGTATGCACGCGTTCATGTAGTACAAGATTGGATTTGGTTGTAAAAGACTTCAAACACAATGCACACTCATGGAGTAGTCTGCTGTTTTTTCTCTTGATCCTTCCCCTCTTCAGGGTAGGAGTTTTACTTTTCGGTAAATTTTGTTTTCCTTTTTGGAGTGTATTTTTAACAACTGGATTTATGTTATGAGATACTTCAAAGTGACGAATTATTTGCTTTCTGGCGTTAAAAGATTTTTGGCACATGTTGCACACAAACGACTGTGCTTCGTTTAAAACTTTGTCGGTTGATTTTGTTGGAATATGAATATTTTCAAGCGATTCTTTCTGGTAATTTCCATTTGTTTCAATTGGCATAATAACCTCGTCTATCGGTGCATTAATACTACAACAAAAAATGCTTGTATTAAAAAAAAAAAACTATTCAATTAAAATAATTGTAATAATTACACATAAATAACACAAATAATTATTATTATTTAACTAATTAAAACTTCCATTGTTTATTTAATAAAAATTTATTTAGTGTTAAAATTACATATTTACACAATCATTTTTTATTTGTTATTTAAGGTTCATTCTCGATAAATTTTCCTAGAACCCAAAGCATTTTAAAACAGGGATTATATATTTTTTTTGAATTTGTACGTCTAACGTTATTTAAAGTCCGATAAAGAATCAAAGTGCAATATTAGTTACAAAAGAAATTGCCAATTCAAAACTAATTTCATTACCTGTAAGGTTTTTCATAGATTTTATCACGAGCAACGTTCTGAGCTAAAGTCGAACTGCTACTGTTATATGACTTGTGAAAATCATATGGCTTTGTATTGTTTGTATAATCATCAATATGTTCCGAACTCAACATTACAATTTCTTCGACTTCTATTACAGTATTGAACCAATATTTATCGTATTTCATTACTTTGACTTCAATAATTTTCTTTTCAGTCTCACTAAACAATAAAACAAGAACAGTGCATATTTTAATTAGAGAAACTACAAAGTCAAACCATGATATGTTAAAGACAGTCAATGGTCAAGGTTCAATTTTAAAACTTTTAACAGGTGGCCATTACTCCTCCTAAACTGTCACCTGCCAGGAGGAACAAACTGCTATTTGCCGAGACTCAAAACTGGGACCGTGCGACACTACCGCTTTAAATCACTAACCCACGTGCCTTTCATTATATGAAAGAATGCAAACCTATTGAGATTGGTTCATAATCTGCAAACAGTGAAGCCGGAAAGTTAACATGTTTTTAGAAATTAAAATAACTGTGATATTAAAAAAAAAATGAATTGCAAACTACAAATGAGTCACCTTGTATACCTTACGATAAAATTAAATATCAACAAAAAATACAGTAAGTAAATATGAACAGGTAACAATATTTAAATGTAAAATTATTATAATTCTTGTAATATGATTTAATAAAAAATTAACATAGGATAGAGCCAAATAATAAGAACTGAAAAAAATTAAGAACAATTTTTGTTAATAATCTATGAAATATTATAAACTTACAAACATGATTGTGAAATATCATCTTTGTTTTCTTGCTTTATGATCAGTTCATTTAACGGTTTAATACTCTCATCTAAATATAAAATATAATTACTATTTATTCTAATTGATTATAATTAACTATTATTCTAATCAGTCAAAGGCTAAATACATTAAGATCTAAGGCCATTATTATAAATTATAATATATTGATAATAAAAAAAAGTTAGGTCTGATTTAGATTGATTGGTCTAAAAAAGACAAGATAGGTATTATTTTGTTAAAAAAATATAATTTTTAAGCTCTACTATGATAAAATAATAACAAAAATTGGATATTTTCTTATAGGATCATTTTCAGTATACCCCGCCTGCTTTTGAATAAAAGGGCTAATTTTTTTTTTTTTTATATAACTACAATCAACATTGAAACTTAATTTAATAATATTGTGGATTTAAAACATACATGTGTATACATGTATTGTTTACTTACCTTCATCTAGCTTGAGTTTAATTTTTGTTTCATAGCTCGTTTTAATTTCACTATAAATAAAATAATAATTTAACCAGTACCTAGTTAAAAATTAAAACAATATCTCTAAATTAAAATATATCAAAATATATAGCTCTTGTTTAAGATTGTTGTGGGATTTACAAATTATTACAGCTATTTAAGTCCCAATAAGGAATATACGCTTCAAAAGTTACAATTGTTTGTATATGTACCCATATTATTTTAAACTACTCAGTTTTTCTCAATTATTTTTAAAATATGTTTCTTAAAAATCAAATTACCTGTATTTATTTTTCTTGGCATTTTTTTTAGGACAGTCCTGGGCTTTCAAATTACAATTGTAAGAATTTTCAATGTAATGGGGCTTTATATCATTTGAATAGTCTATGTTAGTATAATCCTCCACTATTTCTATCATAGAACTATAGAAACAATATTTAGTTTCATCTTCTTCTATTTTAATTGTTGGCACTTTCTCCATGTTTTCGTTGGTACTACAACAGCGTTTTAAAGTTTCGTTAGTTTTTTTTAACTAAGTTGTAATTTTAGTAAAAATGTATAAACGAAAAAAATAATCTTACCAAACTAGGTTGTCTAACTTATTTTCCCAATAATCGTTCAAATATGTTTACGATACAATTAATGTTTGTTCAGTGGGCAATACTATTGCATGGTACTGTTTACTTGATGTACATTTCCGTGTTTGAGAAACATGTTTTTTTTTTTTTTTGAGATTTTAAAAAGTTTTAAGTTTGGCATGCAGTCCGTTGCACTCTTTTTGATAAACCCAATACACAGCACTGACGATTTCCAATAACATTGAAGTATTTAATTATTAAACAACATAAAGATACGTCAATAAATTAACTTAATGGTTCGTAAATCTCGTTAAAATTAAAATAATTAACAAGATCGTTAGATATGAATTATCAAAACATGTGATACTAGTATCAAAGATAGTAGTTGGGCGAGCAACACTTTAACCAAAAACCATAAAAAGCCCATAGACAATTGTCCCAACCTCTAATAATCATTTTCACCAGTATAATATTTTCCTACTGCTCATGACGGTTGGGTGATCAAACGTAGCCGTAGGTTATACACTTATGAAATGCCTTTATGTACAAATTATACATTTTACCAAATAAATATTTTACTTTCTTCCTGCATGTGTACCATAGACTTATATGGGAAATTAAGAATTTGATGTTAATGTTTTGTATTTGTTTTATTGATGATATTGATTTTGATTAAACGATAAATACATTAATCAGTCTAATTTGCTGCATTTAATCAATAATCATGATAATAGTTATTATTATTATTTAAATAAATTAACTTTGCTAACAAATCAATAGTGAAATATTAACCAGTTTTGAACGCAACTATTGTAAAATACATACCTATACCTTTTAATTATTATAACACAGTGCTCGATCAAAGATAAATAATTGCTGACTACGGTACAGTAGCACACAAGAACGTAATATTATAAATTTTGAATTGCAACACAATATTGAGTAAAAAAAAACACAGGTATCAAATTAATCAACCATTAAATAATATAAATAAATAAAAACTAAAATTAAGTTAGGAAAAAATAACAACATAAAATACTGAATATCTTTACAATATTAATGAATCAAAAATCTTCATATTTTACAGGAGGTTACTAATTGCAAATTGTAAAATTGTAGGCCTTCCGACACGTGCACCGAAGTTGGCGTACATAATAGTAGTAGTTTTTGAGAAACAGTTTCATACTGGACACAGTATCTTGCACACTGGTGAAAAGCCATACAAATGCGATAAAAAACTTAGAAAACTAAGACACACATATAAATGACAGCAATTTTTTTTCAATTGTGTTCAATATTTTCTGTTCTGACTAAATTGTCTAACGCTTCATTGTTAAATTTAACTTTATCTTGACATTCAGGAATTTAATTTTTTTTACTTCGTCCAATTTTTCTGATATTGTCTCAAATTGTTTTTGTTGTTTCATTCTGAGCGTTTTTATGAAATCTTAATGTTACAATTTGCTTAATTTCTCTGTTGTTTTCTTTTCTAGTAACATTAAAATAGACAATACCAGTATTTAAAAATTAATCAAATTATTTATGATTTTATGAATTATTGGTATATATGGTTATAATTGGAGTTTATTTATTGATCCATAACAAAAGTTAATATTTTTGGCAAAAAAGGGTGTAAGATATTGACATGGAGTTTCTATTATAAAAACTTTATTATTGCAATTGGGTTTTTATTTTTGAAAAAAAAAAAAATTTAATTTTGATTTGATTTTTTCTTTAATAATAACACTGTACAACTAGCTGTTAAATTTATAATAAAGGCTATATAAAAAAAAAAAAAAAAACTACAACAAATTATTACTTAGTTTGGTCATTGCAACATAAACCATAATATATAGAGAGAAACAATTTATAATAAAAGTTTGGATTTGGCCGTAAAAGACTTCGAGCACAAGCTACACGTATAAGGGTTTTCTCCAATGTGTATTCGTTCGTGTAGAATAGGACCATAGCGCGTTGAAATACACTTAGTGCATGTCAAATTTGTAGGCTTTTGTTTTTTCGTTAAAGTGCATGCGTTTGTATTGTACCAGATTGGACTTTGTTGAAAAAGACTCCAAACACAATGCACATTCATGGAGTAGTCTGCCGTTTTTTCCCTTGATCCCTTCCCTCTTCCGGTTAGGATTTTTACTTTTCGGTAAATTTTGTTTTCCTTTTTGGAGTGTATTATTTCCATTTGTTTCAATTGGCATAATCGCCGCATCGCTCGGTTTATTAACACTGCAACAAACAATGTTTTTATTAAAAATAGAACTAATAATTTATCATATATTTAACCTTCCAGCAGAAGCGCTGTTGTAAACAATACATTTGTAGCTGTAATTTTTTTGCATACTTGTATATTGTTTTTATTAATTTTATTTTATTACAGCCTACTATTAAATTAAGGTTTAAGATACAGTAAATGCAAAAAAATAAAAGATAATTTTACAATACGTACAAAAAATGTATATGAAACTATCTGAACTAATTGTGTGCACAGCGGCAGGCAAAAATTAAATAAACCATTCACTGTTCTATTTTGAATTACAGAGTTCCAAATAGGACAAACTTACGAAATAATAGTACATATATTTAAAAGTAATATTTAGTGTCTTTGGTCAGTTGGTCGTCCAACAACATATTTTGTTCCATTTGTACCTCAGTCTCAAACCATCAAAATTTGTAAGTCTACTTCGGAGTGAATTTTTGTCTCATTGTTCGTTTCAGAGAAACTAAAAAAAAAAGAACGCATATTATAATTGAATAATTTGGAAAATAAAATTACTTTAGTATGAAACTACTATTGCCAAGGCCAGAGACCAAAATCAATATATCAAAAACTAGCTTGTATATCACACATAATTTTAGTTCTAAGTAGAACATTATTTTAGAATAAGATAAAATATTATTTTAAATAAAGTTTGTTAACTTTCTAAACAGTATTAGAAAATTAAATTTAATGTATCATACTTTGAGATTGTTTCTACAAATAATTTGCTTTCAAGTACCACATACTAAACTAATAACAAAGATAGAATAGAATTAATAAAATTTAACTGAAAAAAATAAGAAAGGTTTTTGCAAATTACAATATTATAAACTTACAAACTGAATTGTGGGATGTCATCTTTTGTATCTTCATTTTCTTGTTTTATGATTACACCTTTTACCAGTTTATTGCCAATATCTAAACATAAATTACAATAGTTATTCTTGCAAACTGAATATATTGAACATTAAAATTTTGTTTTAGCTGTTATAACAGTTGCGATTGGATACCCATACGTACATTTTAACAGATTTGCTTACCTTTGTTTTGCTTGACTTCGACTTTTGTCGCATTCCTCGTTTGAATATCACTAAAAAAAAAATACAACAATCTATCCATGAAAGCAGACAACGGCTTATAATCTTCTCCAATATATTATATTATTATGTTATATTATGGAATAATAATAACAATCGTCTGTTTGATTTTCTTCTATTTTAATTGTCGGAATTTTCGTCATTTTATTTATACTAAAAATCAAAATAAAATTTAATTAGAAAAACTACAACATACAAGATAATTTCTGTACTTTATAAACTTTATCTTACTTTAAAGAACACTGCTGTGAGAATTGGTCCATATTGTTTTCGTTTTATGATCACACGTCGTTTCCGTTTGCCTGCCTGCTCTGGAATGATAAAAATTACTAATCAATAAATGTCTTAGACGGATGTATATTATGATTCCATAGGTAATTTTATTATGGTAATGTTGTTGGACGGTATAAAACATATTTGTAATATTTTCATAGTTAAGTCAACATTTAAATTTAGTGTTTTTCAAGTGAGTAGGCTTTTTGTTTTTTAAATTAGAAATTAAGAAGAATTGTGTGTTGTTACCATTATACTTAACTTACATATATAATTTTTTATTAGTTTAGTTAATTTGTTATTTATCGTTTACTTGTACTTATTTATTTATTTATTTATTTTTTTAAATCTTATTAATCATATTATTATTGTTAGTTTGGTGTAAAGGCAAAATGTTCACGGTAAAATTGTAATGTCTGCTTTGTTTAACATATATCTCAGTCCAGCTAAATAATAATTATTTTTATTTTAGATTTTATAACTAACTACTAAAATTTACAATTTTAGAGTTCAAGCCGCTCAGCTAAATTATAATTATTTTTTATTTTATACCCAACTTCTACAATTCACTACGTAAATCTATTAATTAACTCTGTGTAATTAGTACAAACCTTGAATATTAAAAAATGATGGCAATACAGTAGGCTTCAACCGTTTATTGTTGCGATACGCAGACGGCAGATGTAGGTAGCAAAATGAAGGGAACATACACAGATAGTTGGGAGTCACCCTATCAAACCATTCCACTTAGTATTCAAGCCATTCGTTTACTCTAAATAACAACAAAATTTCTTATTTATAGAATAAAACACAAGCATAATTAATGAACATCTAAAAATTAATATACATTTCAGTATTTTACAAACCAGAGTTTCTCTTGGTGTTTGACACGTTCTTATTCTTATCGTGTCCGGTCCTGGACTTTATTGATATTAATTGTAGCCTAAATACATTAAAGACATTAAAATAAAATATAAATGTGTTTAGAAAAAGAAAAATTGTAATTTAAATATTTTGCTTAAAACCGGTGCTGAAATGTTTGACACTTTTTAACAACCCAATACACAGCACAGGCAGTTCGGCATAGTCCAGATAAATATAACATTACCTAATAGTTTCAACTTTGATTTATTTAAATTTTAGTTAGTTTATTAGTTTCGTCAGTGTAGATTTGTCTATGGTAGATGGCAATTTAAACAATCCAGAAATATTTGATAATAGAAGGCGTAATGGGGTGAACCGGGGGCAGTTCTTCCAAAAAATGATAAGAGATAAGAGTTCTTCCAAAAGATAACACAATTTTTATTTTATCAGCGTGACCAACCCCATAACACAAAAATATAAAATCACATTCTATCAGTCTGCCAATTCTATCAGAATAAAAGTAACTAAAATATAACTAACGTTTATCAGAGTTAACTGTTATCTCTAGAACCAAACGGCAATAATTCAAATGATATTATACCTATTTATATGTTAAATGTATAGATACAACTTACACGGTGACTTTTAAACAATTGATTAAAATTATGTTAAAATTTGTAGACTAAGGTATCTATTTTTATTTTAACACATATCCTAATACTTACTTAATAATTTATAAAAAATATATTATTTGAGTAAAAATTCTTTTGATTAATTTTGAATATTTAACTCAACTAATTTAACATGACGTTTTCTCTGCGTTTTCGTTAGATTGATAAAATATAAATATTTTTTAGATTTATTTAAAGGATTCGAATACAATTAAGGTTCTTTAGCCTATATATTTTAACTTGTAAAAAACAACGGTCGATAATTGTTTCCCCACTATTGAAAGTTATTTACATACTTTATTCATATTTTTTTATTGGTAATAATAGAAATAATAAGATAAAAACAGAACAACAGACAGACATATTGTAGAAGTATTAAATGCCTGTAAATGATAAGCTGAAAACTCGTTTAAGCGGTTTTTATTAAACAGTATATATTGTATCGATTTATATTAGTATTAGTTAGTTTTCTTTGGTCATAGTATGTAAAACGTTCATACTTTTTAACATTATTTTATATATATAAAATAAAATTGTATGATATTAATTATTTTCAGGTGTTATCAGTTACATACACTGTTGTGTATAATTAAACAAGTAACATGTTCTGATTAGTTATTAACACCTTTTGTCAGTTTGTGTTTAAAAAATACTACACAAGGTTTAACTTTGTGTAGTATTTTTTAAACACAACATAACGATGGATAATCTGTTCTTGCGTTAGTGTCTTTTGTGACTGGTAAAAAAGCTGAGAGTTATTTTAAGGAATCATTTAAAGTGATTACAAAAGAAAGTAGGTACACTGTGATTTTTTCATTGTGGTTAATTTATTTTAAATAAATGTTACAACTGTGTTCGGTTACAGCTTGTAGGTAACAACATGTTTTCCATTTGCCGTGGTCGAAGGAGGTCCTAAAAAAAAATAAACAGATAAATTAAACTTTTAATGAAGACAATTATTTGTATTGGTTTTTGTGCCACATCATCATTTTAGTACATATTTTAGGATTTTTTTTCATTTGTACCATATTTTACATTATATATGTACACTTTGTTTATCCAAAAGTACTAATAAAACAATGGCAATATTAAGAATATTAAATAAATATAGAGATTATACTTCTTTATACAGAATAAAATAAATACATTTTTTTTATACATGAACAAACACGTTAAGAACTTCCATAGAATAATTAAAAGAATATGCAGGTTTATGACGTCTATTTGTTGACTAGATTTTTAAAAATAAAAATAATATCATATTATAAACAACTTTTTTTCACTATTTCGCTAGATAAATATAGTAAATTACTACTAAAAAAAAAATCATATTTCCAAGCACATTTAGAGTTACTGACTAAATAACATAACACATTTACTAAGAACTCTCTTTTCCGTTGACAACAATAATATTGCTGATTAAATAATTAAATTGTCATATTATGAATGGTTTGAATTTCGTCTTAGTTTATTTAATTTTTAGTTAATTCGGTTTTTGTATTAAATAAGTTATACATTTTGTTGCAAAAGAGGAAACGTAGTTAAATGAGATACATTCTTAATAAAGCACTAACAATATTAATTGTCAGTTTACTTATTTATATATTTTATAACGTAAAAACTATACTACTGAAATATAAAAACTATGTTATCATAACAACAAAGCAAATTACTAGTGTTGAACAAAATAAATTGAAGCAGTTTATACATTGCAGACACAATGCGAAACGTTCTCTATATTTATTTCAGTACATTTTTGTGTCTCGATCCAATGAAATAATATTTGTTTTTTTTTTACAGTTACTAACAGTTCTAGATAACAGCTCGATCAGAATATAAAATAAAATGTTCAGTACTTGTTTCTTTAAAAATGACAAAATTAAAAAAAAATCCATAAGTTCCACTAGGTTATAAGACATACACGTGCCTATGAATCCGCTTGTAGTGTGGATAGATACTCTTAAATTTTTATCTAATAATAGCGAGCTGTCGGCTGACGGACGAAAGGCTAGCCTTCGCTTATGTCCGAAGCACTCACGAATGAATATATAGTTACGTGAGTGCTTCGGAAATAAACCGTAGGCTCACCTGGACTCCACTTTGATAATTTTGTACTGAACTTCATTGATGTGAGTATGGATGCGGCAAAGATTTTTCAGTTGTAACTTATACATAATTTTTACAGTTTACTCTAATATATCTTATCTTATCTCCTATCTCTCACGGAATCACTTTCATCACTTTTATTATACCTATCTTTAACTCATTTCATAATATATTTTACTTACTTCATTAAAATATCCTCCATTAACTTTTCCCTTATCCGACTGACTCGGTATCCTTGACCAAATACCTATTAAAACAAATTACCACAATCAATTAGTTACATTATATCACTTCTAATTTTATTTTTTTTTTAAACAAATTAAATTACATTCCGAAAAGAAAAAGAGCTTAAAAACTAATAAATTACAGAACACAAAATGTTAATTAAATACTTCATTATTGAAATAATAATTGTTTTTTTTTTTGCAATTACTAACAGTGCTAGATAACAGCTCGATCAGAATATACAATAAAATGTTCAGTACTTGTGTCTTAAAAAATAACAAAAAAAAAAGGGTGCTGTTGGTTGACGGACGAAAGCCAGCCTTCGCTTATGTCCGAAGCACTCACGAATGAATATATAGTTACGTGAGTGCTTCGGAAATAAACCGTAGGCTCACCTGGACTCCACTTTGATAATTTTGTACTGAAATAGGTGTGTGTGACACCTGGTATCCCGTTGGTCATTTTGTTGAAAAAGGCTTTAAGCACACACCACACTGGTAGGGCTTATCATATATATATGTAGCTAAAACATAACCTACCAATGTGATTTGTGTTTGAAGTTTTTTTCACAAAAACGCATATGATTAGTTTTGCTGATTGTTCGATTTTTGGACAGCAATTTATTTTTATTTAAAGTCTGTTTGATTTTCCAGCTGATACATTATGTGATTTTCGATGAAATCTAAACGTTTTAATTTGTGTCAAAATATTATGTTAACATATGCAAAAAATAATTAAAACATAAAATATAAAACTAATCAAACTAATAAATTACAAAACACAAAATGTTAATTAAATACTTCATTATTGAAATAATAATTGTTTTTTTTTTTGCAGTTACTAACAGTGCTAGATAACAGCTCGATCAGAATATACAATAAAATGTTCAGTACTTGTGTCTTAAAAAATAACAAAAAAAAAAGGGTGCTGTTGGTTGACGGACGAAAGCCAGCCTTCGCTTATGTCCGAAGCACTCACGAATGAATATATAGTTACGTGAGTGCTTCGGAAATAAACCGTAGGCTCACCTGGACTCCACTTTGATAATTTTGTACTGAACTTCATTGATGTGAGTATGGATGCGGCAAAGATTTTTCAGTTGTAACTTATACATAATTTTTACAGTTTACTCTAATATATCTTATCTTATCTCCTATCTCTCACGGAATCACTTTCATCACTTTTATTATACCTATCTTTAACTCATTTCATAATATATTTTACTTACTTCATTAAAATATCCTCCATTAACTTTTCCCTTATCCGACTGACTCGGTATCCTTGACCAAATACCTATTAAAACAAATTACCACAATCAATTAGTTACATTATATCACTTCTGATTTTATTTTTTTTATTAAACAAATTAAATTACATTCCGAAAAGAAAAAGAACTTAAAAACTAATAAATTACAGAACACAAAATGTTAATTAAATACTTCATTATTGAAATAATAATTGTTTTTTTTTTTGCAATTACTAACAGTGCTAGATAACAGCTCGATCAGAATATACAATAAAATGTTCAGTACTTGTGTCTTAAAAAATAACAAAAAAAAAAAGGGTGCTGTTGGTTGACGGACGAAAGCCAGCCTTCGCTTATGTCCGAAGCACTCACGAATGAATATATAGTTACGTGAGTGCTTCGGAAATAAACCGTAGGCTCACCTGGACTCCACTTTGATAATTTTGTACTGAAATAGGTGTGTGTGACACCTGGTATCCCGTTGGTCATTTTGTTGAAAAAGGCTTTAAGCACACACCACACTGGTAGGGCTTATCATATATATATGTAGCTAAAACATAACCTACCAATGTGATTTGTGTTTGAAGTTTTTTTCACAAAAACGCATATGATTAGTTTTGCTGATTGTTCGATTTTTGGACAGCAATTTATTTTTATTTCAAGTCTGTTTGATTTTCCAGCTGATACATTATGTGATTTTCGATGAAATCTAAACGTTTTAATTTGTGTCAAAATATTATGTTAACATATGCAAAAAATAATTAAAACATAAAATATAAAACTAATCAAACTAATAAATTACAAAACACAAAATGTTAATTAAATACTTCATTATTGAAATAATAATTGTTTTTTTTTTTGCAATTACTAACAGTGCTAGATAACAGCTCGATCAGAATATACAATAAAATGTTCAGTACTTGTGTCTTAAAAAATAACAAAAAAAAGGGTGCTGTTGGTTGACGGACGAAAGGCTAGCCTTCGCTTATGTCCGAAGCACTCACGAATGAATATATAGTTACGTGATTGCTTCGGAAATAAGCTGTAGGCTCACCTGGACTCCACTTTGATAATTTTGTACTGAACTTCATTGATGTGAGTTTGGATGCGGCAAAGA